GGGGCCGACCCGCTCGAGGACCAGCTGGGCCGGCAGCGGCGGGAGAAGCGCGAGCGCGTGGCGCGCAACGAGCTCAACCGCCTGCGCAACCTGGCACGCGCCAGCAGCTTCCACCCCACGGGCCACCAGGGCCGCCAGGAGCTGGGCCGCGCTGCCTGTCTGGCCCGCGCCTCCACTGCCTCACTCGGTCGCTTCCAGCCGCGCCTGCCCCGGGAGTCACCTCTGCCCCCACCCCGCAGCACTGGCAGTGGTAAGAAGAAGCGGCGCTTCGCACCGCTGCTGGGTGACCTGGCAGCTGAGCGTGGGCGGCAGCTGGAGCTGGTGCGCACGCTGGCCAAGCCACTGCCACTGGACGTGGCACGTGCCACCAACAAGCAGCTGCGCCAGGAGGACGCCGAGGCGGCGTCAACAGGTCGCGCCAAGGGCCGCAAGCGCAGCGAGCGTGGAAAACGGGCACGAGGGCGGGGCATCCCACAGCAGCGCCGCCGGGGGCAGCAGAAGCAGCAGCGCCCAGCTGGGGGCAAAAGAAGGAAGCACTGAGGATGGCCCAGGCACTGCCTGGGATTCCTCCCCACCCATTGTGTCTGGGGGAGGGCAGTCTCTCCCAGCCCAGAGTGGAGTTGGGGTCCCCCCCAAGAGACAGGGGGCACAGGACTGAGCCAGAAAGACTTGCTCCCCATTTATATGACAGGCCTCCCATTCTCATTTCTCTTCTTGTGGCTGCTCTCAGAGGCTGGAGATGCTTTAGCAGGACTGACTGGTTACAGACAACACCACAGACATGGGCGTTTGCCTTTGAGAGGGTTTCTGGGACTGTATTATGGAAAGACTTAAAGAGGGATTTGCAAAAGACTTCTTTCAGAAGACTCCTTTAAACAGTTTGCTGCTTTCCCACTGCTGTGTGCAGCTTCCTAGCCTCTTATTCCTGTTGTAGGGAAACAGAGTAGCATGTGGGCATACATTTGGTGTCAGGGGGGAGAAACAGAAATGATCACATCTGATTTTTTTTGTTTGCTGTTTTGAAGGGGAGATCTGATGGGTACCTGATGTTCTCTTTTCATATTAAGGGGTGTGTGTTGGGAATATCTGCCGCCTGAATGAGATTTTTGTTGGCTGGTTTTTAGGGGTTTTTTGTTCCATGTGTTAAATGAGTCATTGAAAGTCAACGGCTGCTTCTAAGCTTACTTTTTTGTTAAGCAGCCTAAATATGTTCCTCCAACTCTGTTACACCTTCATCTTTTCTTCCAGCTATCCCAGATGGGTTTGGTTTATTTTGTGTTCTGCCCTCTATTAAAATTGTAAGAGCCATAAAAATACTGCAGGTCCAGAGTGTCTTTTTCTAATGGCCTAGAAAAGCAGAGATGGGTCTGAAGGAGAAAAAGTTTGCTGTGTGTATGCAATTCTTTTCTGTGCTGCTGAAATGTAGAACAAAGGTTGCGAGGAATCATTTTCTAGAATTGCTCCCTAACGTGAGAAGGATGTTGCAATAAATGAAGATTTTGTGGTACTGGCAGGGCGCAGGCTGGCAGAGGTCTGTAGAGCCAGGCTGGGCTGCACCAACAGGGAGAGGGGGGAGCTGGCCTGGCTCCATAGAGCACCTGCCGGCCAGGACCCTGTACTCCTGCTGCCCTGCTCTGGACCCTGCCAGCACAGGCCCTGGAACATCAGTGTGGGCCCCACACTCCTGCTGGGTCTCACCCTCTCACTTCCAGTGCCCCGTTCAGCCCTGTGGTACAGGCAGGGGGTAGCACATAGCCCCGACCCCGCACTTGCTGGCAGGGAACAAGCTGGTCCTTAGCATGGGGGAAGAAAGGCCCTGCCCGGTGGCCCATGTTCCCTGCTGCAGCTGCTTGCAGCCTGTGTGGAGCTGTCCTGAGCAGGCACAGGCAGCCCCACATGGGCTGAGTGGCTGCAGCACAGGGCACCAACCATGGGGCAGGGGAGGGGCCGCTTGTCCCTGCACTCAGCACCAGCTTGTAACCCTCCCCTGCTGCCAGTCTGGGCCTTGTGCTGACTCTGGCCTCACCTGTTGGGGATGCGCTGCAGCAGGAGCAGCTGCAACTTGCCCACTTGCCACACCAGGTAGTGTTTGCTGCTGCTGCTGGCCGCCCGGAGGTCACACTGGTTATGCAGAAATGTCTGATCAGTGACTGAAAAGCACTAGAATGTTTTGTTTTCCTGTTGTAAGCATCTCTTACTATTTTCTATGGCTCCATCATTGTATATGTCTTCAGCCAAAAAGAGTTTCAGGAGACTACTCTGCTGGAGTGGGGAAAGAACCTCTGCAATCCTCAACAGCAAGGATGCATTACAAAGATAGGGAAACCTACCACTTCCCATCCCTTTATTTCAGTCATTCTGATCAAGGACATCAGCTCTGCGCCCATCATCTTGTCCATGGGGTGAGTTTGAACTGGGCTCTTTGTGCTAGATCCAGCAGGCAGAGTCCATCTGGCATGGGTGTGCACCTCAGTCTGGCCTTGTACACTGTCCTGACAGCTGCAGCCCCTGCACTGCCCACACCAGGTGGATGTTGTGTACCATCTGGGCCATGGCCTGTGCGCTGTATGATAGGACTTCCTGGACCTGGCTGCAGGCCATACCCTTGATGCACCTAAGCTAGTGACTGTTTTCACAGCATGCAAGTGCCGCTAGTGCAAAGTTGTACCTTTTTCTTAAAGGACTCGTCCTACTTAGTCAGGTAACTATGACACTTCTAAGCTAAAATGGAAAGTGCTCTTACTCTAAAGTTATATTTTAGCACCTCAATTTCTGATCCCAGTCCTCCTTTCCTAAGGGGAGGAGTCCTAGACAACAATCATCCCTAAATCCACTTCACCAGCCTTCCTCCTCATACTTTTCAGAAAGTCTGCCAGCCTCTCACCCCCCCCCTTTTTTTTTTGCTTTCTGCTTGAGAGCAACAGAGATTGAACTTAAATCTAATGGAAACGAGCTTGGAGCCCTTCATTTGATCTGACTTAATAGACGAGAGGCAAAACTTTCTGTGGGTGAGAGATTTGTATGAGACCAACTATGTCACTAGGATCAAGTCTTGCATCCCAAAGCTTCTCTGACTTGATCCCAACCCCATAAAAGTTGGTCCCATAAAAGCTAGCAGGGAGAGACCTTTGCCTCGCACAATTTCTGGGGTGTCCTGGCCCTGGTGAATGCAGCTCTCACAGCATTGCTACCACATCTCCCTCAACCTCCAGTGTGGCTTTTTTCCTCTGGTCCCTCGCACGTGTCATCCTGCGTCCTTCCCGCATCCAAGATGCTGCATGTTCTCTAGCGGGCTCTT